GTGCAACTCGTGGGATCCAGAATAGAATAGCATCAAGAAGGCTTACATTCCAGACAAGAATATCATTTTTCTACTTAAAATAAACGCGTTACAAACAGATTTGGAGGCTCACTGAGTGTTTCCAACCGCGACCGACCTTAGCTAGACCCGATACTAACACTGAGTAAGTTAAGAGTGTCATGCCTAAAAAGCATACTCCCCTTCAAGTGAATCTGTCCCAGTTTAGCCTATTAACAGGCTCTCATGTCCTTGTTAATAGGGTATACTTTTTCGCCCAGTATTAGACTGTTTACAGTCCGGTGCCCTAGTTTTCCGTAATTTCGTCGAGATCGAGCGCTTTGCGTTTCGGGCAGACATCCTGGATGAGTGTCAAAACGATCTTACGGAAAAAAAGGGGACTGTGAACAGTCTAACCCAGTATCGGCAGTATTGGTTCACAGGTAAGGTATCATAATGATACTTTACTGATCTAGCTGCTGACCCAGTTCGAATTAATGTAATCCGAGGTTTGCACCATGGCGCCTCTATCTATATTTAAAAAGTAGCAAAGCAAAATTGTGGTAGTACTGTCAGATACAGGTCAACTAGGAGTTTCACCATTCCCAGAGGCACATTTTACTGTTCAGTTTTCTTTTTTTGTTTTGTATGGGTAGATGTGGTTTTCAATAGACCATAATAAAACAAACAATTCCCCCAAGCCTCGGAGCCAAATATGAATTTTAATATATCGAAACATGGTCTATTGCAAAGAATGTTTTAAATGCGGGCTTAATCCGTCTCGGAGACGGATTATACCCGTCTAGAAGTAATGGTGCTGATAATTTGGGTACAAAAACTAATTAAAAAGATTATCGGCGGATGATATTAATCATGATTTTCGAATACCATAATTTATCAACCTAAGTTCCGCGGCTTCTTTGTTTTTCGTTCGTTTGTTTATTTTTACCAGACCCCGTGAGTGTTTACGCTTATTCTGTTTTGGGTAAACGTAGGGAAGAATGACTTCGTGTCACTAACTCATTTTTCTCAAAGATCGTTTGTAATATCGAAAGCTGGACTAGGAATTGTGACGTATAGTATGCAGGTTCGAGAAATCGTTCACAATCCATTTGGGATTCGGTTCAATTTGTAAAGGAATTCAGGGGTATACGTTAGCGCTGAAATAGACTTCATTTTAAGTAAGCCAATATTTACTTCTCTTCAGGTCAGTCGGAAGTGTCATCGATTTAAGACAGTGACTTTCTGACTTTTTTAAGTTAAAGGCGGCTCCCTTTTTGTCCAAAATGTACGACTGCTAAATGTTGGCTTAAAACTCTCGTCCGATGAGCGGTTTTGTGATCTCCGATCTATTCTAAAACCATCACGTTACCCGCCGGAATATTTTAGTATATATACCGGTATATAGCAATGGCCGTTAAAGCCTCTCATATAAATAACTTGGATAAATGAACACCTGAACACCAATCAAAATTGGGTAAATGGCTTAAATCTTGTAACTTGTGCCCCTTTGCGTCCCACCTATAATCACCCTTAACTGATTTCAAACAGTATACGATACAAAGACCATAAAAAGCCTTTTTTTTGATGCAGTCTTACTTGGTGCTGTCATTCGTCGTCCATATCAGATCCGAAGTGAGGTATGGTTTAACAGATTGTGCCAGGATTAATGTCCTCTTTTAAATGTCTGCATACTCCATGAACAAGCTCTATCTCCTGAGAAAGAAATGCTCACTTAAGCCCGGTGGGAGGGGTACTCAAAAACGTTTTATACAGGGAGGCTCCGCCCTGAGGTCCAACTCCGTACCCTTTTATATACCATTTTTGACAGAAAAGGTTCCCCCCGGCGGGGAGGGGTACTTCCTTATAAGAGGCTAATGGGGATTTGCCGCTGGATGAGGTCGCATTTTCACGACTGGATTGACTATAATGGGGTCGCACATTTTCTGATTTTTGGGGTAAGACAGTTCTTCATATTTACTGTAGATGAAACGAGTGTTCTTCATTCAATCTAAAAAATGGGTCAATTCATAAAAATAGAAAGTGACTAAGCTGGGATTACGAAAATGCCTAAACGTGACTAAGATGGGGTCTATAATTGGCCACAAAATAGACAATAATGGGATAGGGGCTCTGAGAGGCCAGCGGCACATACCCAGCAAAAATTAACCCAAGTACCTCCCCCCCGGGAAGTTAACCCCATCGTAGACCTTTCGTATATCTTTTATTTGCTAATCAGTTGTACCCCTTTCACATACCTAGTTTAGAACTTTGCATCCCTTTTAACTGCCGTCAAGGGAGCATCCTCTCTTGCTGCTGTAAATGCACAGTCTCTAAAGAAGAAATCACAAAAGCAGAACGTTTTCTCGACTTTTTGACAGCCATAACCGGCATCTTTCAGCCCTTTTGGGCCTTTTTACCAACCGAAATGACAGACTTCTACCTTTTTATCTGCTTCAACAGGTCAAATCCCTACCCTTTCGGGCGGAACCTCCCCGTATAGGCAATTATAGGAAGCAACCCCCCGGGCACATAAGTCCAGGAGCCGATTAAGTAATCGGCTGATAAGTCACAATTTAGTACATTTACAAAATTTCACTTGATTGTTTCTTTTGTGAATTTGTAAACTGACTTGAAATAGTTAGTTTACTTTCGAGATTCACTAATTTGTTGCTGAATAAAGCCCCTTTTAAGATTGCATGTTTTTCATGATAAAGAACCGCCAAACTTTTTGGGGTTACTGAGGCTTTAAAGCTTAAAAAAAGTAAAAAAAAAATTCATGATCGAAAGTGGGATAAAAAGTAATCTTAGGAGGTTTTTTTGGACCAGCCAAACCAAGTATTACATCTATTTTTAAGTCCTGCGGAAAATCAAGATATTTCAGTCTCCGCTATAATGTTAAGTAACAATTTAGAAGGTAAGTGTTATCACGTCGTCGTTTATCAGTTACCTTAAACTTCTAACAGCTGTTTAGCAGCTCTGGAAGTATGAAGCTTTATTCCAGTTCGTTTAAAACCTACAATAAATGAAACAAATTTTGCATTTGTTGAACGTTAAAATTCGTTGTTAACTTTAAGCAAACGAGAAAACATCGAAAACGTTAAGACATTACCTTGCAATTAAGCATTTCTCCAGAGAAAAACAACTTGTTATTCTCTTCTCATTCTATTAAAACTGCCTGCCAGTTGTTCTTCGTTAGTTCTTTACTCCTTCTTGACAGTAATTTTGTTAAATTTTCAATCAACTCTGTTCTCAAAATGGCGTTGCGTAGACTGAAAAAAAATTTTGCACAAAGGGCGCGAATTTGTCGCGTGCGCCCGGTAACGGCGGCAACATTTTTCTTGATCCTGATTGGTTAACCGAGGCTCCAATTGCTTAATTGGTAACGTAACCAAACATACCAAGAAAATGATGGGAAATTAAAAGCAGACAAATTCTTCGTGTTCTTTTACATGAAATTGCATGGGAATACATTTGTCATGAAAATTACATAAGTGACGTAAATTTTAGAGGAGCGTTCCCTGATATCGGTTCTTCATTTCTGTCATGATCCCGACCATACATTCCCTCGGAGCATATGACAAATTTCTTGTGTTAAGGAATTTTTTCTACGTTTCAGAAAATAAAGCTGGTTCTTCTTATCGGGCATTGGTTATTTGTTATATTTAAGACAACATTTACCGAATCTCGTAGAATCATTAAATCCCGTATCCCGGGTTCACAATTACATCCAAATCATCGAGCCGCGTTTCTAAATGCAATCCCGAACTCCGGCTTTTAAATAAACAAAATCGCTGATCCCGAAAAGCTGTCGAGGACCTTCTAGAGTCATGTACTTTCTCTTTCACGTTATCTCCATGTACGTATTAAAAGCTCGAATATTTGATTTGACACTGAGGCCCCCCGCCCCACCCTTTTGTATACCACTTTTGACAGAGAAGGTACACTTTTTGTATACCTCCTATTGAAAAATGGTACACCCTTCACATACCTAGCAGAGAAATTTATATCCCTTTTAACTGCTGAAAATGCACTGTATATTTGAACAAACTGCCAAACCAGAACGGCGTTTTCTCGACCTTTTCACAACCACAAAATGCGCCAGCTAGCCCTTTTGAGACTTTTTACAAACCGTAATGACAAATTTCCCTACCCTTTCATATATTTGAACTATTGAAATCCCTCTCCTTTTCATATACCTCAGTGGGGACTGAAAACGCTGCTTTTCCCCGTACAGGCAATTATAGACGCCCCCGGCTTTTACACAGGCACTTGAAATGTTAGTTTTATATTTTTAGACTTCAAGTGGGTTAGTAACCCATTCGCCCCCGAAAATTTTGCCGAACAACGTGTTCTAAAAGCCAGTTGAGCCGTTTTCTGGTCAATGTCGTGCTACAAAGAGCTAAAACTTATCATAAATCTATTTACAGCGAAGCCGGGCTTGTGCTGAAAATTTCCAGATAGTTTTTGGGTTTAAAAGTGGCACAGCAGTATTGACTCTTACTTTCTCTCCTCTTCTCTTTTTTAGCTTTTCTTGCCTCATTTTTCTCTTTTGCTGGGAATTTAGGAGGCTTCATTTTGGTGGGAAAAGTTTTTAAGAAAGCTCTTAGGATCTTAGAATTAGGTGGAAGGAAATGTAGGCGGGTAGTGGAACAAGATTTTCATGGAAATTTTCTGGTCAACGTTACATACTTTTTTTTGCCTTTTTCTTCGGTGTCCTTAACTGAATTGAGCTCATTCTGGTATGGTTTGAAAGATCTTTTCACTCTGTGCTTTAGTCTTGGTAAGTTAAAAAGAAAGGCAAATAATTGTGCGAAACCAGATATTTCAAATGTACAAGTAGAAAAACTTGAGCACAATTATCATGCAAGCCGAGTGACATCATTGCGTGACAATTAATTCGTCACGTCATTCGCACCGAAGTGGCAGCGCAGATGTGTGTGATGTAAATGAACTCGTGTCCGTTTGGTTTGCATGTTTGCCCACAGATTGTTTAGGACGAAATGGAATTAGGTTTTCCACTAGACGTAATCCTGTTTTTCACGTCTGCCCTTGCAGGATTTTTCATATACACCATATATTTTCGACCGAAAGAATCGCTGAAAGCTTACAAGGTGGTATCGAAACGTTTCAAGGACTCTAGTTTGTACAAGAGTCTCGGGTTCACCGCTGAGTTTCACGCCATCGAGGATAAATTTGCAACATTCGACGAAGTTTCGCGTGCAGTGAAAAACGCTGGTTTAGAGTCTAGTAACCTGATTATCGGTATCGATTTCACAGCTAGCAACGAATGGCAAGGAAGAAAGAGTTTTTCCGGGCGATCTCTTCATCATGTTTTCAACAGCACGAAGAAACTGAACCCATATCAGCGCGTGGTGCAGATAATTAGCAAGACTTTAGAACCATTTGATGAAGACAACCTTATACCTGCGTTTGGATTTGGAGATTTATCGACAAAAGATCACAGCGTATTTAGCTTTAACGTAGACGGATCTCCTTGCAAAGGCTTGGATGATGTTTTAACGCAGTACAGCGAGGTTGTGCGTCGAGTTACTCTGAGCGGACCAACTTCTTTTGCTCCGCTCATCAACAAAGCTATAGAGATTGTTAAACAAGATCAATCTTTTAATATTCTAGTCATCGTAGCTGATGGCCAAGTCGTGGAAGAACACGATCAAAGCACACGAGAGGCGATTGTGGAGGCGTCGAATTTTCCCCTGGCTATCTTAGTCGTTGGTGTTGGAGATGGACCTTGGGACCGCATGAAAGAGTATGACGAACTTCTTCCACAAAGACGCTTCGATAACTTTCAGTTTGTAGAGTTTGAAGAAGTTATACGCAATGCCAAGTATCCAGACACTGCGTTCGCGCTACATGCTCTCATGGAAATTCCAGATCAGTATAAGGCAATCATTGAACTTGGACTGATGCAGTCGAAGAGTAAAGAAGATTAATTTCAGTTCCCCAGTTATCTGCGGAATATCTGGGTCATCTATGTTTCGCTTTTTCACATTCATTCATGAAATATAGATCTTTGTTTATTAATATTTAAGGTTTATTCACGGCAAGGTTAATTATCAGAGCACAACTGAGGAAAAAAAGGAATATTTTATTTGTTTCTACACAACGTTGTTTATATTGATATGTTAATATATTTAGTGCAGGTGAAACCTGCATCTTCAAAATATGTTCTCAATAATGTTATCAACAAGAAAATATTATTTTGCCCAGTGCGGTCCAGTTCTACAATTTTAATTTGCAAGTCTTGCTTGCTATTCAGTTGAATCATAATTGTTGAACCCCAAGCAGAGCATCGCTGCATTTGTTTCAATGGGTTTGTATACTGGGTTAAGTGGGTGGGGTAGGAGAGGGTTTGCTGATCCATTTTCCCTAGGGAGTCTCTTGAATGAAACAGGCACGGATGCTAGTCATTTGGGGGCCAGAATTGCAGATCTTGGTCCCAAATTTCAAGTGGCAGGGATGATTGAATGGGGGCAAAAATTGAAACCCCCAAAAATCCCTAGGGCTTCCAAAAAACCCCCCAAGAATTCCCTGGACCCAAATTTAACCCCCAAAAAATCCCATGCCGAGTTTCTGGGCCATAAAAATTTCCAGAGAAACTATGTGGCCAGGATATGCGGGAACTATCCTGAATCTGAAGATTGTTTTGAAAACCCAAAATCAAGCTACCCCAAAAAATGCTTACAAAAATTTTTTTTCCCCCAAAAATCCAGAAATTGAAACTTTCAAACCCAAAAAAATCCTTCGATCATCCCTGTCACTTGGAATCCGGAGCACCCACCCTCTGGGATCTTGGTATAGTGTTCAATATTGCAATACCAATATTTTTACCCAAACAGGAATCACCTGTGGTAGGATGAAGAAATAGAGAAAGCGCAAGCAAAGGAGACAAAAAGAAGAAATCAATCATTGACGTCTTAACTTGGCTCTTTAAGAATGGCATCATATACGGCTCAAATAAAGTTTTCAGCCACACCCAGATTGGTCTAATTTAGGGGTTTAAACACCCCCAGTCCCCATCTCATGGAAACCCTTCCAAGACATTGAGATGGGTGGGTAGCATAGACTTAATCCTGGTAATAAAAAATGTGCTTGATAGTAACCCTTCTTAAGGACACAACAGTATGGATGCCAAATATGATTTATTTGCAGAGAGAAATCTAAGGGTGAGTCGGAAGTTCTCCTTTAAAAGAATCACCTATATTTACTGACTTGTACAATGATTTTGCTGAAATTATCTGAAATGATATGTATATTAAGTTGCAAATTTCCTGTTTGATTAATAATTAATAACTGACAATTCTTTTTCTTCATTGTTTGAATCCAGCCTTTTTGGATAAATAACCTAGTCACAAATTATTGTTTTTATAGTTCCCTTGTTTATCCATGTTTGTGATCTCCTGTGGAATATCATGACCACTTTCAACGGGGAACGTTTTGTCCATGTCTGTTAAGATGTAGATCCCAAATGATGTCAAAATGTGATAAGAAAAATCAGTTGTGGCAAGTTGGTCACTGATGATCTTACCACATCTTTGTCTTCTGTGATGCCAAAACAGATGCACAACAAAGTGGAACCTATTATCTTTTGTATAGAAGGGGAAGCAAAATATGGCCTTAAAGTTGTCAGATTGTGTGAGGATTTTCCTGACTCTGAAAATAAGTTTACTTGAAAAAGACCACTTTTCACTCATGCAATATTCTATACTAATTCTTACATAATGTAGAACAATCTTGTCCTTGTTTCCTTTGTTGGATAAAATGGGGTGAATAGTAATAATTGAAGGGTAACTGTTAAAATGTTTGGGCAGTTTTTCTTTTAATTTGCATTAATTAATATATGCCTTGATTCTTTTAAGTGACATTTTATGGGAAATTATATTGTCTAGAGCATAATATGTTGATTTTTTTAATGCAAAGTGCCAGTCTCTCATGCCAAATGGCTCATTCTCAAAGGAGAACTTTATGTTAAATCTATTATGTACTGCACATCACTCAAATAAGTTCCCAGATGTTTGTTTAAATTTTGGCCACAAGAGGATGGGAGTTCTTAATTCAGGCAGCATCCATAGTCTACGTTTTGAAGAGAATGAAGCTTTCTGTGTGATATCCTAATTATGTAACCCTTTAAGTCCCAATGGTGACCAATATCAATTTTCTCCTAACAATATCCATACATTGCCAAGAGATTAGGTTATGTGAATTAATAAAATGACCACCTAAGAGAAAATGCCTTGATCTTTCATCAAATTCTCTCAACACATTCTTTCTGAAAATGTATAGAGATCAGTTGAGAGAATTTGTATGTGGATATTGGGGCTTAAAGGGTTAAGAAGGTGAGAGGGAGAGGAAGGGCATCCACTCAAAGAATGGAATTTACTGATACTTGTTTGCGCTTAATTCAGGGTGTCTGCCTAAAACATTAGGTTTCACCGTATTTTCGCACTATAATAAATACAGTTGAACCTCTCCTCAACAGCCTACTTGGGGACGGAAGAAAGTGGCCGTGGTAGAGAGGTTTAACCCTTTAAGCCCTAGGAGTGATCAGCATGAAATTTCTCCTCATAATATCAATGCTTTAGAAAACATAATGGTTGTGAGAATTGAGTACATGATCAGGGAAGATGAGTCTATTTGATATTTCACCAAATTCTCCCCAATACTTCTAGCTTTACATTGTAGATAATTTCATCCCACCAAAAAAGATAAAGATACTTTTAAAATAAAACTCTATTTTAATAATAAAATATATTATGATGTTTCAGATAATAGACAATAACAGGAGCTTGTACATGTTATGAATTTAAAAAAAACCCAACCAATTCACTAACACTTCAAATAAAACAAGTTACAGATGAGTCAATAGTCGGCAGGTAAAAAATACAGGTCACAAGTGCAGGTTAGAGTACCAGTCTCTGAACTACAGTAAATAAACAACACTAATTAACAATTATTCCTCGAGCCCAAATGGGCTCTGAGTCAATAGTCCATGACGCCGAAGGCCGAATGGGCTATTGACTCAGAGGCAATGAGGGTGAGAGGGTGAGAGTCATCATGGGGGCGTGAAGTGGTAAAAAATATCGAGAATAAAAAAATTTTAGCTAGTTACAAGCTAGACTTTAATCCTTTTGCTGCCAAAAAGCCCGCACCTTTCGCTACTAGGGGGCTATAACATATAGCCTAGAGGTAGCTCAACCAATCAGAACGCAGCATTGACTGGTTGCCTTCTGCTAGTTGGGGTTTTTAATCCTGTTATGTTGTATTTGAATTATTTGTTTCTAACATTTGAGTGGAGTGCCTGTAAATTAGCTGGACAAGCTAAGTGCTCTTTCCACTATAAACAAGCCTTTAACCTTTTTTAACCTTTAACTAGTTGGATTTTACTAAAACTGCTTATCTCATTCATCAATAGAGCAGTGACCTGCAATTGTGACCTGTGACTTGTGTTTTGTATGTGCCAGTCAAATAGCCCATAATGACCCAGCGAGAGCCTTTTCATTTGTGTCAGCATTGTTTACCTATGAACAAAAACACATTTCCAGCTGTTGCAGAGAAGTGACAGCTGTTAATATGCCTGTGTTTGTACGCTACAGCATTTTGACAGAACCGTTCACTTTTAGAACAATTTTGGCCCAAATTTCAACTATCAAATATTAAGTCCTACAAATCAGACAGCAAAACCTTAAAGCCTGGTTTTCACTACCTCTTAAGGATAAGCATAGGGACATACACACGCGCAGAATGGCATATTTGACTCCATTCTTGATACCAGCTCCCCTCAACCTAATGATAAACAAGATGGAGGACGAAGCATCTGCCATATTGCTTTTGATATGTTTGCATGAGGTCTAGGTCAAAGTGACCTATGATTGGTCCACGGCCTTGTGCTTATGCTTGTGCTTATGTCGACCCAGTTTTCACCAGTCAAAGCTACAACATAAGCATAAGCACAAGCACAAGAAGTACAAACTCGTCTGTTTTTCTTGTGCTAATATGCTCAGCTTATGTTGACCTAGTTTTCATTTGCTTACACATGTGCCTGTGCTTATGCTTCTGCACTAGTGAAAACCAGGCTTAAGAGCCCAGAAACTGGCATTTGTCATTCAACCCATGCAAGGGAATGCGGATTCTGGAATCCAGGAAATTTACGCCTGTAGTAGAATATGGAGTCCTGGGCTTTTGAATCCAGAATAAAGCTCAATGAATCTAGAATCCCACTAATGACTGGTATCCGGATTCTAAGTTCCACTGACAAAGAAACCTACCCCTCCCCTAAGCCAACACTTTGCCCTAAGTAAGAACTAAGTGTTAATGTTGGTTCAGGGGAGGGGTAGGTGGGCAGTTTCACAGAAACATAAAATGATCCAGAATCCGGAATCCAATACTTGGAATCCAAAATCCAAGACTGTCTTGGATTCCCTTACATGGGTCAATGTCATCTTTTGATGTCATTTAGGGTGCGTTTCTTTTGGAGAATCCACGGTAAGTTATCTAATCTGAGATTCTTTGGATTTGTTACTGATCAAGTAGATTCTTTTCACTGATGGCAACATTGGTGCCACGTGGTGAGAACAGGGCAACCTTGTATTGTCAAAGAACAACTGTTTGGCAGGTGTCCTTCTTTTCCCTCCAGGGTAATTCGGTCCTCTTAAGAGCTGAATCAACTCAACTGAGGCCAACCAACAATCAACCAATCAGAGGTCACAATTAACTTATAAAGTGGAGTGTGGCTCTGGGAGTCTGTTAGCCAAGAAAAACCAAGAACATTTCTTTTAAACTTCAAAGTGTTGGTGAATTGGAGAAATTCTATAAACTGTAAATTATGTGGCCATCAAAAGTCATAACTTTTGATCACATTATAAATTGAACAATAACAAAACTATAGAATACACAACTTATTGTTATGGAAATAAAGACTACAAAATGTACATTC